TGCAGGAGGCAGCCGATCAATGATTCTCTCTCATCATTGATGCTTCTATCCCTCTCTCCTTCTCCCTTCCTCTCTGAAATCAATAAAAAATATTTTTTAAAAAAGATGAAAATGTTTCCTACCTGGTCTTTACTCTTTTTTAATCAAAAATAAAACAACAAACGAGCTGATCTCTCCTCTTTCATCCCATCCCATCTGTTTTCTATGTATTACTGCTTTTGGTTTGTTATTTTTTTTAAAGAGTAACTTTATTATTTTGTTGTTGTTATTGTTAATGCTCCCCCGAGGATATTTTTCCAATGATTTGGGCAGCAGAGTCATGCAGACCTTCAGCACCGAGGCCAGCACGTTGAGAAACAGCAGGAAGCGCAGCAGCAAGAAGTAGGACTCGGTACCCGCGCCAAACTGGCCTACAGGGGGCGGCAGGAGGCCCGGGTCCTTGCTGAGTCGGGATTAACCTCGATGTGAGAGAGACACATCGATTGGTTGCCTCTGACAAGGGCCGGGGAGGTAGCCTGCAACCACGGTATGTGCCCTTGATCTGAATCGAACCAGGGACCCTTCAGTCCCCGGACTGACCCTCCATCCACTGAGCCGAACCGGCTAGGGCCGTTGGTTTGTTCTATGGTCTGTTTTGCCAACTGCCTAGAACAGCGCATGGCACACAGCAGCTGCTCAGTATTTGTTGCAGGAATGAATGAATGAATGAAACAAACGACCACCATTGGTTTTCCATTCAGCACTTCTCCCTTCCAGAAAAGCTGTGATTCATTTGCTTCCTTGTTAATAGCACCGACCCCACTAGCCACAGGGGGAAGGGGTGGGCTTCCATCTTCATCCCTGGCCCTGAGCACTTACGAAGCATTTTAAACATGGATTTCAACTCAAACAGAGAGAGAGAGAGGGATCCCAGAACGAGACTCCAGCCCCTCCTCCCTCAGACCCAGGAGCCCAGCCCCAGCCCCTCCCCCCTCGGACCCAGGACCCCAGCCCAGCGCACCCCCGATCCTCTTCAGAGTCCACCCCCAGGGCTCCAGGGTGTGCAAGCCTTCTCGCATCTTCTCCTTGGACCTCCGAAGCCGCAGGGCCCAGTTGGCCACCCTGGACCCGGACCCCTGAGCCATTTGGTCCCTGGCGTGGCGCTGCCTGGAAAGAAACAGGGTCAGAGACAGAAAAGGAAAGGGCCTGGCTGCCCCCGATAGAAACCACCCACCCGAGGCGGAGACGCCCCGACAGTGCGCTGTGGTGGCTCCTAACACGGACCCCACAGCAATAAAAGAAACAGGCAGCCGACAGAACCCCAAGACTGCGGGCCTCTATTCACACAGTCCCAGAGTGAGCGGGGACCCTGCCCTTCAGGGAGGCAGACCCCGCGGCCAGCTGGTCACGTGTGCTGGGAAAGGCATTCTCCTGGAGAGAGGGGGGGCGGCCAGGGGAGGGGCACGCGGGGTGCTTCAGGGGCTGCAATGCCTCTCCCCATGGGCGGGGTTCCCTGGGGCTCTCACTATAGGGAAACTCTCTGAGTCTGTCCATCATGTTTCCTGCAGGCAAATTTCATCATAAAGTAAACATGCAAAACAAAACAAAACAAAAACACAGAAAGGAACAGAGAACGCCCTGGCCGGTGTGGCTCAGTTGGTTGGGCGGCGTCCGTGCACCAAAAGACTTCCCGTTTGATTCCTGGTCAGGGCACATGCCCGGGATTTGGGCTAATCCCCAAGAAAGGGGTGTGCAGGAGGCATTCGATCAATCTCTCCATCTCACATCGACGTTGCTCTCTCTCTCCCTCTCCCTTCCTCTCTCTCTCTAAAAATCAACTTTAAAAAAGAAACGGAGAGCCCAGCTGGCATAGCTCAGTGGTTGAGCCTTGACCTATGAGCCAGGAGGTCATTGTTCGATTCCCAGTCAGGGCACATGTCCGGGCTGTAGGCTCGATCCCCGGTGTGGGACGTGCAAGAGGCAGCCGATCCATGGTTCTCTCTCATCATTGATGTTTCTC